AGGATTTGGCTGATGTCCCATACTGCCTCATGGGTAGATTGACATATAGTCTTATAGTTAGCAGTGATTGTACAACACACAATGGAGGGCGTGTGAGAACAGGGCTTTGTCACCAAAGAATTGGGCAGTTGTTAGCCGCAAGAGGTAGGCTGGTGAGGACAAAGACCCTCTTGTTGCTTTCCTCATCAACTACTGCAGACCCAATCTCTTAGTTAGATCTTTTAGGATCATGGCAGCAGTAGTGTTATCAAACCACTGCTCCTCTTCCTCCCCACCACATTATATCGTGTGCCCTTGCCACAAGACATCAAAGTCTAAACTCAATGCTGAAGAATCCCCAGGAAACTCTCTCCTTCCTCCACCCACTCCCACCCCCCAATATACCACTGTATCACTACCACAGGCAGGGCTACTGATGGTGGCAGCTAGGACATAGGCACATGTAGAATCAATGTCAGGCTGCTTTGTGGCTTGGCCAGTCTGTGAAATGCTTGCCTAATTTTGGAACTAGGCGGCTGTTGTCGGTAAGGAGAACTTTGCAGTGTGAATTCAATGCCAGGTGCTCCATCCAGTTTCAGTGCTTTTCAACCCTGTGTCAAATCACACTGTTACAGAGTGCCATACTCAGCCCTCAAACAGCAACTAAATGGAGCAAATATGGATGACAGGAGATTAGTAAATCAGACTGAATTTTACAACAGTTACAACAGTTATATCAGTGTGCACCTTTAAAGAACATTTTTTTTTAAAATGTGGTCAGCACTACTCATTTGCAATATACAGCAATATTCCTGACTGATACTAAATTGTCAATGAGGCCTTTGCTTAAAAGTAGATTGGATAGATAGGGTCATGCATCAGAAAGATACAAGTAGGTCAATTGAACAGATGAAGGGATCATGGCTGATCTTCTCCATTCTGCTTTCCTACCCACTCCCCCTATATCTCAAATTCTCTTAGGAATGGAGCCAATCTCTAAAACTACAGACAGTACTATAGCTATGGTCTCAACAAAGTCTGATATCATTGCAACAAGACTGCTTTATTCTTGAACTGCATTAAAAGCTAACTGCTTGCATGTTAGTTTCCTGTGCATATTAGCTTACTAGTCTTGCTTATCTTAAGCTAATTCTACTTGTCCAAGCTTGCTTCCAATTACAGCCCATCTCTACCAGTCACTGCCTTGTGTTCAGAATTCATATTCGTGGACTGAGAAAAGTTGGAAGGTACCGAACTATTTGGACACTTTCTCAGTTAAACAGGTTTTTACAAAGAGATTAGGTCAATAGGTTAAAATGTGAGCTGCAAACCACCTGACGACAAAGTCATACAAAGAAAAACTTATCAAAAAGTGGCAAAACTGGTCATGAGTTTTATAATATGTAGATTTCTTTAACTCAAAAAGTAATTTGGTGACAGTCTCTTATTCTGCTTCGGGCAATAATTGGGCATCTTGCTTATAATGGAAATGTTTTAATTCAAATGGTATAGACCACTCATAACAACAGAAACCGATTATTCCTTTGCACATTCTTTATGCCCTCCTAGTTTTCCCCCTCCAGACTTGGTGAACTTTATATTGAACTTGATCCCTCTTCCAAGTCATTGAAGTATCTATAATCAAATAACTGACATTCCAGCATCAACTAGTTACACCCTGCTAAATGCTAATGCAAATGACAAGGGACTGAAGGAGGAGGGAGGAGTGAAAATCTGGTGGCAGAAAGAATGACCTGTGATCCACAAGCTGGAAATTTTTGCTTCTATGGCCGTGTCAGGCAATGAGCTCCAGACCACAATCATCCTTTGAAGAAAAAGGTTTTTATCCTCCTCTTTCTGCTGATTGCTTTAAATCTATTTCAGTTGTCACTACCCCTCTGCTGAGGTAAATAGGCCCCTAACATTTTATACATCGCCAACAATCTTCCCCTCAACTCCTCCAACCTGCTTAGTTTTATCTCATAGCTGCATTTTCCCAGCCCTGGCAACATACTTTGAGCAGTTCTAATATAGTTCTAGCATTAACTCCTAGCTCTTCTACTCAGTACCTGCGTAAATTTTAAAAAAAGGATTTCTTATTCCTTAACCACCTCACCAACCTATCCTACTACCCTCAATTTCTCTTCACCCACATTCTCCCATTAATTGTGGATTCTTTTGCCTTGTTTGATCTCCCCAAATGCATCAACTCGCACTTCTCCAAGTTGAAATCCAATTGACATTTTCTGCACACGTGACCCATCCATCAATATCATTCTGTAGGATATAGCACTGTTTCCTGCACACCATAGCTAGAATACCACAAACAGTTTTGGGGCACCTTATCTGAAAGGGTAAATATATGCCAGCATTGGCAGATGTCCAGAAAAGGCTTACTAGGCTGATTCCATGATGTGGAAGTGCCATGTTGGACTGGGATAGACAAGGTCATAAGTCACATGACACCAGGTTACAGTCCAACAGATTTACTTGTAATCACAAGCTTTCAAAGCACTGCTCCTTTGTCAGGATTTCACCTGACAAAAAATCAGCACTCCAAAAGCTTGTGATTTCAAATGAACCTGTTGGACTAAAACCTGGTGTCATGTGACTTCCAACCTAGGTTGATTCCAGCTGTGGAGTAATCATCGTGAGGAGAAGCTCAGCAGATTGGGCCTGTACCTAGAATACAGAAGAATGAGGGGTAACTTTATTGAAACATACATAATTCTTACAGGTCTTAACAGGGCAGATATGGGAAGTAGTTTCTCCTTGTGGGAAACATCTAGAATTAGAGGGCATAAATGTGTTTCCCCTACTCTGAGATTAAGTCAGATGAGGGGGGAATTTCTTTTCAGAGGGTTGAGAATCTGTGAAATTCTTTACAATAGGGCAATTGAGGCTGGGTCATTAAAAATCCATCACAACCTTGAATGTACTTAATCACTAACGGAATCAAGTGTTATAGAGAAAAGGTAGGAAAGTAAAGTTAGAGTAGAGTAGAGGATTATCAGTGCAGCCATGACCTCAGTGAGCAGACTCCATAGGCTGAACCTCGCACACGTGCACACGCACAAAATTGATACATACCACAAAAAGCAGGGGACCTTGGATTGTTTCCTATAGAATGCCACTGGAAACAGCCATCCTGTTGCAAGAACACCCATCAACAATTGTGGTTTCTTGTCACCGAGCCAAGATACTTAGGTAATATTACCTAGTATCCCATGGGCTTTCATTGTTTTTGAAAAACATTTTACCATTGTCAAATGTCTTATTAAAATCCATGTAGATCATATCATCTCCACTGCCCTAATATTTCCTTCTGACTTTTCCTCAAAAAATCCAAGTTAATTAGAACTGATCTTTCCTTAAGAAATCCACACTGATTATTCTTGATTAATCTAGGCCAAGCTGAGAGCAAGCTTATCTCATGTCTCACCGATTCTAATAATTGTCCCCCACTCTGGAGATTAGACTGACTGGCTTACAATTATTCAGTTTGTCCCCGATCCCCAGGTTTGAAAACAAAGTGGTGGAACTTTCACAGTGCTCCAATCCTCCAGCACATGTATGCAGTGAGAATCAGAAAGTGACTTACTGCAATTGGAATGCCCTCCTATCCCAATTCAGAATGTGTTTCTATTTGAGGTTGGATTAACTTACCAATTAAGTCTTTGAACAACCACTTGCTGTTCCCCTCTCCACTCAAACAATCTTCAAACTTAAATCCTCACTTTAGACCTCAGTCATGTACCACAATATTGTCAAACAAACATGGCTAGTCTTTAGCTTCCATTAGTAAAAAAAAACAGGAAAATACCCAATAACTTTATTCCATCCTTTACTCCTCTTTCTTGCAATAAACTCCTGTATCAGAATTGCATGGGGCAGTCCCCATCTTCACTCCATCAAGCTGGCAGAGTCAGACATTGAATACAGACTGTCTAGATATGGCAGCGATATCAGGCCCCTGATATTATTAGAATCGGTGAGACATGAGATAAGCTTGCTCTCAGCAAGGCCTAGATTAATCAAGAATAATCAGTGTGGATTTCTTAAGGAAAGATCAGTTCTAATTAAATTGATTGAATTTTCCCCCTGCTGAAAAACACCTAGCCTTGAACCCTCAGCTCAGGCTGGACACCAGGTCAGATTATGAAACTGAGGCGACAGCCCACTCCCTCAATACAATTTTGTTGGAGAGTAACAAGATCATTCATTCATTCACCTCTAGGCAGACAGTTCACTCTGGAGGCGAGGAGAAGTTTGAGGGAGATCCAGGAAACACCATTTGAAATTCACCTCAACTGTACAGGAACTTGCTTCAGTATTCCTTCTTGACCAAGACGCGAATGTTGGTGCAGGGATGATGAATGTTGACAGCTGCAGCACTTGATTCAATCTTCTAGTTTGTAATCAAGCAGGCTACATATAATGGCACACTGACCAGGATTAGAGAATCCAACCGCACAGGAGGCCATAACATCACGTACCCACAGGACTCAAGGGTTGAATGGACCCCTATGCTTTGACGCTTTCGGATTGCGGGTCACTGGGAAAGGGCAGTGGGGGTTGAGTGAATGGTCTTTTCTGAAAGAAGTAAACATTTGACTGTTAAAGACTTCATTCAAGAACCAGGGTGATTGGATTTGGGGGAATAAAGGACTTGCAGGCATCTGATGTGAATTGATCCAGGGAAACACAAGCCTCTTCCCTCAATGCCTTAAAATACCCTCCCAAATCAATTTAAAACAAAGTTAGACAGATCACAACAGATGCCATACAAGCCAGCTCTCATTGCTTGGGAACATCAACACCCAGATATAGTGGAGGTGGGGCAAGTCTGTCAGAGTCTAGATTTGTTAAGCCTTGTATTTACTCACTAAAGGCAGGCAGAAGATCAGAACGAGATTAAACCTCAGGGGTGAAGCAAGTTAACCTGACACAGCGAGCACAGTCCTCCTTTAGCCGAGTAGTTTCCACCTCCCCTCCACACAAATGAAACCTGGACCAACAAATTGCTACACACATTTTAATTAAACATATTGATAAGTGCTTAAAGCATTTTTTTTATTAAAGGTACAGTGAAGATTTAGTCTATTCAGCAAGAGCCCATGTTCTGCACCCACAAAGGCCTCCTTTGTGCCTGTCCTCAAGTGGGAGAGATTGCCTGGGCTGGTGGCTGGAGGAAGGGAGAGAATATACAGGCATCTGGAAGGGCTGGTGGGCATCTGGGAGGGCCAGGTAGGTGGCAGTGCTCTCAGGACAGAGGGTGGACATTTACAGAGTCACAATCCAATGTCTAGGCCAGTTTTCCTATTCGGTATAACAGGGGATGGGTTTTGATTTCAAGCTGCTAGCTACTTCAGAAACCAAGGCTACAGAAAATGAGACCACCCACAGCTCTGCCATTATCTGACAGTCCGATTCAGTGAACTTAGAATGGCACAAGAAGGTAAAGCTTCAGAAGCAGCTCAGGGAGTGAAGCTCTCAACTGAGATCAGTGCAATCCCCATCCCTTTTATTATGCAGGCCTTCCCCCACACCCTGCCAACACAGCTTTGCAGCAAGTTTCTTAGACCATGACTGACAAGAGGGTGTGAGAGAGCAAAGACTGACAACTTGGTCAGACTCCATTCTCTTCTGCCCTCCAGCATATTGAGCATGAGAACATGGACCAAGTGATGCAGCCTATGCCAGGAGTTGCATTGCAGGGATGGGAGGGGAGGGCAGGCCAGTGGTTAGTTCCTTCAGTGCAGGAGCAATGGACAAACCAGGAGAAGTATTTGCATTGTCTTTGTGAATTAAATGCCAGTGGTTAATTCCCAAACAGTTTAAAAAAAAGTTTCACAGAAACTTCAATCTCCAAGATTTTACACTGAAAAGAAGCTGAAAAAGAACTTATCAGAACACCTCCCCATTCAAAACAGAGCAAAAATCAGCTGCAGCATACAACACTTCAAAACAAATGCAACAGACAAATTCCAGAAATCCAAAGGCCTCAGCACGTGGAAATTTGCAGACCAGCTGTGTACCTCTAGGGCACACCAAGGTGAGCAGGATTTTATCCTTTAAGTAATTTAACAAAAGAAAAGGGAGTCTCCAGATTTGTTCAACTTCCTCCTGTTGGGAGAAGGACGACCTTCCCCTGGAGACAACTCCTTGGCCCAAGGTTTAGCTCCTATCCTGACTCCAGTGCTGCACACCCATGTTCCTGGACTGTTACCTGTATATGCTCTACTCACCATGGTCTTGATATGTGCTGACTAGTGAGACACAGTCACTTGGCAGCTCATCACTGGTGCTGCAGGGAGACCGATTGAGGAAGCTGGGATTTGGTAACAGCTGCAGGTACAGCACGTGGCACTGTGGGCCTCATCATCCTTCCTTGTGATTGACTAAGAGCAAGATGTGGTTGCGATTTGGAAGCAGCTCTGGCCTGTCCCAAAGTAACTCCTCGCACAAATGCTCTCATCTCTCCAACAAGACCAAGGGAGGTCTCTGAGATACCAAGAGATCATTCACTAACTTTACACTGGGCAGATCACAAATGGAAGTCTACCCAGGGGAGGGCAGGGCCAGGGCAGCAGGCACATGAATGCACCACTCTATCCTCCCATTTCCCTCTTGCCCTTTGTAAGGGCATACTTCAGTAGTTTTGTGTAACCCAAGTGTAAGAGCTCTTGGCCAGAGAGCTGGTTTCAGCAGGAACAGGCCATGGCGTAGTCCCACCCATCGCCAGTGAATATTTCAGATCCCTCTCTAACCCAGCAGCAATTGTATTTACAACAAAAACATACATTCGACTCCTTTACATGACACAGGAGCCAAGGCGCAGCTCAGTCTATCCAAACCCACAGACTGTCATTGGTCTCCACCCCAGCAGTGGACAGTTGGGTTCACACTGCCCTGTCACAGTGCACTGCACTTCATTTCTCACAACTCCTTAGGAGGCAGGGAAGAGAGGAGAAGTGAGTTTAGTACTCAAAAGAAATCTTAAAATCAGAATCTGAATAGAAACCATTTTTGCCCCAAGCTGAAAATTCCGCAAGAAAAGAAAATCAAGATGGCAAATGTGGTGAGGAAAGGGGTGCTGGTGTCATAGCTGACGGAGTCAGAAACACAGCACAAGGAGTTCCAGTAGTGGCACAATCCCAGACAGTAGATGCTGCACACAGTCACTCAGCCCCTCTGCTGGGCAGGTGGGGGATCACTGCCAGTGGTCACTATGTAATCTTCCCAGTCTGATTGTACATTGCAGTTTCCTGATCCCAGTTCTCCTTCCTGTATGGATTCTCCAAGATGTATCGATACTTGTCAAAGTTTTGCAGCAGGTATTTGGGAGCGTACATGTGTTCTTTGGGGTCTGCAGGAGGGTAATCTTGCTCAGTGCCGTCAAACCAGCCACCTGTCTGAATCAACTCTCGAATGTAGTTCAGATCTCTTTTCTCTTGGTAATTCCCCCAGCGGGGGAAGTCTCCATTCTGTGCAGACAGCAGCTTGTAGCGGATGCCTTCGGGTTTGAAGCACCAGGAACAGTGCCAGCCTGCAAAGTGAAGGGGACTACCTACTGCCCAGGGCACCAGGATATGTCCAGTGCTGTTCTCATACAGCCGGAAGTTTGGCATCAAATAGTACTCCCGCCGCCGCAATTTAATCCCATCTCCATTGTAAACCATGAAGAGCATGGCCACAGTACAGCCTGATATCACTTCCAGGCTCCCTGGCTGCTTCCAGAAAAAACCGTACAGTGACTTCCGCAGATGGAAGGCAAAGGGTTCGGTCCAACCATCAAAGAGTTTGAGGAACAGCACACCATCGTGAGCTGGAATCTCATCAGCATCGTTGATGAGGAAGATATCATCATCCCGTAAATTGATAATCCGGCTCATACCGTTCTGGGTCAGGAAGGTCCTTAAGTAATCATCAGCGATCCAGCCATCCTGCCTCCCTCCGCTGGGGAAATGGTCCAGGAACACGTACAGGATCTTGTTGCCCACGTAACTGTATGTCCCATTCTGGAGCATCTCTATGAATTTCAGGGGCTTGGGCTCCCCAAAGGCAGTGAAATTGGACTCACAGATTAAGAAGACATCGACCACATCGCCCAACTCGTGAAACCGGACGTCCAACAGATCAAACTCATGGTTTATGTTAACGGCATTGATCACCCTGCGAGGCATCGGTCGTGGGCTCAGACGCTCTTTTGTTGGCAGATTGGAATACTGGACCATGGTGGGCACCCCACAATATGGTCCATGCCAGCCTGGGAGACAAGGGCATCCCACCCACCTGCGCCTAGGCCTTCCACTAAAACCCCTGTTTGCCATCTTCTGTGCCAACTGCTTGTCCACTGCGTTGTGGTCCCAGTCAACTGCACCCTCCACGGATCCTGCCGCCATCTTGGTGCCCTGCTTAAAACAAATGGCTCCTGCTTTGGTTTGTACAAAGTACTTTGTCTCGTCATCTTTCAGTTCAAACAGGGCTCTGTGTAATGGTGGGCGGGCTCCATTCTGAGCTTTCACGGTGACCTGTAGCCCAGGGCTAGTATTTACATCCTCCACAGCATTCGGTTTCCAGAAGAACTGAGAGTTGACGAAGATGGACCGGAGAGAAGGGCTGAAGGCAGACAGCTCATGGGAAAACGTGATGTAGGACAGGGCTTTGAGGAAGTGCATGAAGGAAATGAGACATAGTCCTGCCATACACAGAACCAGAACCACACGGCGTCGGCGCATCTTCATCCTAAACCAGAGAGAAAACACCAATCATTAAAAACCCTCCAAGAAACTGCCTTGCTATAGCACCTTACACAAACAAGCTACCTTTGAACTGACAAAATGCACATTAAAGGCACCAGATACTCTTGTTTTGAAGTAAAAACTGAAATGGAAGTCAGGCTGCCATAAGCAGAATGCCTGGAGAGTTTTGCAACTTGGTAAAAATCACATGGTGCACATTTTTATCTGTGAAAGACAATGTTGCTATTTGAAGTGTGGGATTGTTACTTTGAAACTGTTGCAGAGTGTGACTTAAGGAAAGATTGCCAAAACAGCCCTTAAATTTGTAGCAAACTGCAGGTGCAGGGCAGCTACGGCCCTCCAAAATCAGCAAACTGACTAAACCTCTTGTTCTCTTCCACATCCCCGTTCATGCCAGGAGAAGAAAAGTTTAAGAAAAACTTAAAAAGGTAAATCTATAGGTCAACTATCAGTGAAGAACAACCACTTTATAGACAACAGCAAGTTCTCATTACTAAAATCAAAAGGAGTGGAGACACAATTTAACTCCCTTTATCCAGTATGACCACTCTACATGCTGATAAACTGCAATAAAATTCCTGTAAATTACTGATCTACATTAAGATGGTTTCAAGCCTGAAAAACAGGAAGATCACAAGGTTACTAAGGCAGAGTTTTCTTGTCTACAAATCGGCTTGAGGATGAACCAGTTACAGCAGAACAAACTTGGGGGTAAACTGCAGCATCAGAGCTTCCCAACAAAAGCCTGTAGTAGGGCCCAGACTGAGCAGCTGCTAAACCCCAACAGAATCCCACCAGAACTCGATGAGCCTGAAGAAAGTGACAACAGCGCAAAGCAGTGAACTGAAGAAAGGTCCCGAACCGAAACGTCAGCTTCCTGCTCCTCTGATGTTGCCTGGCCTGCTTTGTTCCTTCAGCTCCAAACCATTAACTCACTGGTAGGTTGTCTTTGCCCATTTTAAAGTTGCTTTAAGTAAGAGTCCTAGCTTCCTTTCAAAATAAAAGAATTTTCTACTTAAATTTAAGAGGAGTTTTTATTTTAAACAGAGGTATGATAGGTGAGCTCAGTCCCATTTTGCACGGCCTGCAGTATGTCTGAATGACCATATCTGCAGGAAGTGCCACCAGGCACAGCAGTGTTTCTGTGAGGCTGAATTAAGAAGAGAGGATGTTTTAAAGACAAGGTCACTCTGCAGCTAAATGGACTGCAGTCAGGGAGAAATTTCAGGAAAATGGGTGGAGGCAGCCAAGCTGGTATTCAGGAAAATCCAAAGAGCATCTTATGAGATGGAGAGATTAGGAGACTGGAAGATTCAAATTTAAGTTCAGGCTGAATAGACTGGGACTTTATTCCCCTGGGAGTGTCTGAGGCTGAGGGGTGACCTCAGGTTTATTTATATAATCAGGGGGGTGAATAGCCATGGTTGAGTCATCCAAAACTAGAGGGCATAGGTTTATGGAGAGAGGGGAAAAGATTTAAAAGGGACCAGAGGGATAACTTTTTCACGTAGCAGGCAGCGAGTGTATGGAACAAGCTGCCAGAGGAAGCAGTAGAGACAAGTATAATTTCAACATTTAAAAAGGCATTTGTACAAGCACGGATAGGAAGATTTAGAGGAACATGAGCCAAATACAGGCAAATGGGACTAGTACAGTTTAGGAAACCTGGTCGGAATTGACAAGTTGAGCCATGCTGTGTACCTCTATGACTATGACAGTTTGTGCATTTTTGAAAACAGTGACAGCAACAACCCCCTGACCCCCCCCCAACACATACAGACCTCCCCACACCCCCACCCCAAAAAAATGGGGGGTAACAGGGGGCAAGAGAGAGACAGAGAGAGAGTATAAGGGAACAGACAGAAAGGAAGAGTTATAATAATATAAAACTCAGGACAGTAAGGGCAGGCACTTCTACAATTGAAACATGACACTAGGATGGTGTGTTAGGGCCTGGGAGGAGGGTGAAGGATGGCACTGGGGATGCCCTGCAGCTGTTCAATGTCAAATAAATAGTCAGAGGTGTACAACAAGACTTTAGGGAGTGAGGTGGCAGATTGAAAAGAAGGACAAAGATTGTAATAAGAAATAACAAGGTGTAGATCTGGATGAACACTTCAGGCCAAGCAGCATCAGAGGAGCAGGAAGGCATGTTTCGGGCCTAGATCCTTCTTCAGAAAAAAGATTGTAATCTCTGGATTGTGAATATAGGAGTAGGCCAACAGAGCAGATGAATGCATAGCTGAAGAGTTGGAGTAGAAGGGAAGGCTTTAGATTCCTGGATCACTGGGTTCCTTTCTTAGACTTAGAATACCTACAGTGTGGAAACAGGCTTTTCAGCCTAACAAGTCCACACTAACTCTCAGAACATCCCAACCCAGACCCATCCCCCTATAAGCCACCGGATCTACACATCCCTGAACACTACAGGCAATTTAGCATGAGCAATCCACCTCGCCTGCACATCTTTGGACTGAGGGAGGAAACTGGAGCACCTGGAGGAAACCCACGCAGACATGGGAGAATGTGCAAACTCCACACAGACAGTCGCCCAAGGATGGAATCAAACCCAGGCCTCTGGTGCTGTGAGGCAGCAGTGCTAAACACTGAGCCACCGTGCTGCCCCATTTCTGTTCAGGTCCCACTTCTAAAGTCCAATGGGGTGCAATGGAACTACAAAGGGTGCACAGCATGCAAGAGCTAATGCTGTGGTGAAGGTTTCAAGTAATTAATCAGGAAAGAGAATACAATGGGGGTACAATGAATTGTGCAATGGTTGGTGATGCACAGATAAACGTAGAAGAACAACAAAAAAAAAGTCAGTCTGGCCGACAGTGTACATTATCAAGTTAAAGCACAAGGGAGCTTAGCAAGGTTGGATGGAATTTATTTTAATGCAAGAATATTGCGAGTACCGCAAAAGTGAGAGACACACACACAGACAGATTTTAAGACAAGATCTGGCCAAAGTGAACCAGGAACAGGTACTTGCAGGAAAAACCTGAGTGGAAGTCTTTTAAAAAAAAGGAAACAGTCCAGAGCCAACATGTTCCTGCAAAGGTAAATGGTGAACCAAAAATTCCAGAGAACCTTGAATATTGAGGAATGTACAAAATTAGATAAAAGGAAAAGTAAAGAGATAATTTTAGATACCAAGGGCTCAGAGCCCCAGAACCTCTTAAGGCATACTGAAATTGGTATAGTCAGGGTTACTTTAAAAATTGGGAAAGCAAAAAAAGGGTCATGAAAAGAACACTTAGGTAAAACAGGAAAATTCAAAGGGTAGCTTGTAAGTAAGGGACAACTGGATAAGCAGAGAAAAAGAGTGGGGCCCATGAACATAAGTCAGTACAGCAATAGGGACAGGCTCTCTGGCCAACCACATCTGTGCTGACCATGCCATTCTAAACTAATTCTATCTGCCTGCATGTGGTCCATATCTTTTTATTTCCTGGCTGTTCAAGTGTCTAAATGCCTCTTAAACATTGCTATCATATCTGCTTCTATCACGTCCCCATCAATACATTCCAGGCACCTATCAACCAGTCAATCTCCTTTAAACCTTCCCCTCTCACAAAAAAACCAATGCCCCCTAACATTTGACTTTTCCACCCAGGAAAAAAGGCTCCAAGTATCCACCCTATTCATGTCTCAATTTTATATACTGCCATAAGAAGGTTGTCCTTCAGCCCTCCAACACTCTAGCAAAAACAAACTAAGTTTATCCAAACTTTCCACTCCAATCCAGGCCACATCCTGGTAAACCTCTTTTGCACCCTCTCCAAAGCCTCAACATCTTTCTTATACTGTGGTAGCCAGAACTGCACACAATACTCCAAGTCTGGCCTAACTAAAAAGTCTTATACAGCTGCAACATGACTTGCCAAGTTATATACTCCATGCCCTGGCCAATGAAGGCAAGCATGCCATCTGCCACCATTACCACCATATCCACTTGTATTGCCACTTTCAGGGAACTAGGGACTTCTATATGGACTCCATATATCCATGCTCCATGAAGTGCTGAAGTGTCAATCTGCGTGGATCTGGAAGGCATTGTTTGAGGTTTTAAATCAGTACTTTGCATCTGTATTTACAAGAGAAGGACAATGCAGATATAGAAATCAGGGAAGGGAGCAGTGATTTACCTAAATGGATTAGCATTGAGAGAGTATATTAGAGGCCTTAAAATTGGATAAATTCTCAAGCCCAGATAAGATGCATCCAAAAACTGCTGCAGGAGGCAAGGAAGGAGATTGCATGAATGTTTTAATTCCCTCTGGACGCAGGAAGGATGCCAGATGATCGGAGGAAAGCTAAAATAATACCATTATTCAATAAGGGTGTTAGGGATAAACCAGAGAACAGAGGCCTGAGAGTCTAACATAGGTAGGGAAACCATTGGAAAAGCTTGAGGGACAGAATTAATATCCACTTGGAGAGGCATGGATTAATCATAGATAGTTAGCTTGACATTATCAGAGGAGATCACATCTGACAGGTTTGATTGAATTTTGAGAGATGGTGACTAGATTGATGGATGGGTATAGTGCAGTGGATGTAATCTACATTGATCTTGTCAAGACTGCTGACAAAGGTCTTGCACAGAATGTTGGTCAAAATGGTCCAACATTGGCAGATAGCGGAGTGTGATGCTTGAAGGTTATTTTTGAGCTGAATGGTGTCTTTCTGCACTGTAACAGTTCTGTATTGTGTGACATAATTAGGGAACATGTAGTATGGAGTGAAATCGTTATAAGCCTCACCACTACCTGGTGTTCACTCCCTGCCAAGACAGTGGCCCACCCCATCCTCAGGGTCCTTGCTCTGTTACATTTCCAGGGTCCTCACCTCATGGCCTCCACCCTGGGACTCTACCATTTCTCTGCTCCCCCACTGCCCACGCCCCACCAACTCCACAATGGTCAGCGTTAATTGGACCCAGTCAATCACAGATGCAAGGAGAGGTCCCCATCACAGACT